CCTTTTTTTAGAAGGAAGGAGGGTGGAATCGAATGGAGCGCGTTTCGAGATAAACGCGGGGAGAAACTATGGCCACGCCGTTTCTTTAATATGCATTTACTTAATGATCGAGGAGGAGTTTTGCGCGCGTGCAACGTCGTATCGCCGTGGGGACGGGCGCCGTAATGAAATTTGAGAGGAAAATCGCGCGGGCCGAGAGGCCGACATTTCGAACGTGACATGGCCAGTCCCATCATTTTATGCAAATAAAACCGTAGAACGCTTGATTTCCCTTGGTGTTCGCCGACGACGACGACCTCTTCGACCGTCGTTCAAGCGTGGCAGATGTTGACCGGAAACACGAACCGAATTCTGTTTGCATTTTTCTTTCTTTCTTTCTTTTTTTTTATATATATATATATTTTATTTATTTACTTTTTTCCCTGCTTTTTTTGTTTGAATTTTCTTGATGAGACAGGAAATTGCGACGAGAATAAGATGATAATTTATCTTTCTTTTTTTTTTTTGAAAGGAGGAGAGAGAAGAAAGATACGTAAGATCGGAGGAATTTGGGAATTTGTACATGTTTTATGATTTTTAAGAGATTTATATATATAAAGATATATGAAAATGTATAAATTAACGACAAATTAATCACTGATATTTATTCTAATTTGTTAAAACGTAGGAAAATGAAATGTAATTCTCTCTTCGATTAAATTTGAAAACTAGATAATAATTCAGAGAAATTCCATATATTCAAATAATTAAAAGTTCCAGAACGATGGATAATCTAACGATCAAATATAACATCTCGTCACCTTTTCAAAGAAATAATCTCTTGGAAAAGTGTTGGAAAATATTTCGTTTCACCGGCTAATATTTTGCTGGAGATCCGCTTTCACGATGGTCTTTTCATCCGGAAGCGACGTTCATCCCTAAATCAGATCGATTCCCGTGGGGGAGGGAGGATATATCAGGAGATCGTGTTCACAACGATTCCAGAACTCTTAAAACCATTCCACCGTAAACACGTGCATTTGAAACGAGCCTCGATCAGTTTACACTTGCAACCGGGATTTTCTTTCTCCTTCAACTTCCTGCTCCAAGCCGTAAGTGTTACGGTTGGCCCATTCTCTTTTTATCGAGGAACGTGTGTAAATGTGTGTCGATTCTTGCGTGCAGTTCGCCATGCAATGAAAAAAAAGAAAAAAAGGGAGAATGAGAGATTGATTCTCAGAGGACGAGTTGTTGCGAAACATTGAATAATAGGTTTAATGTTTTTTTGTAGTGATTTATTATTATTATTATTATTATATATGGGGATAAATGGAAGAGTAGGACAGGTGCATTCTTTTTTCTTTTCATTTTTTAAATGAATAAAAGATTTTTATTTATTAAAGAAAGAAAATGACGTGTCACGAATGTTTTATCACGTTCGAATAAAATCTTTGTGGAGAATTTCTTTCGAAATTTTCACTCACCTGGAGGATAATTGATGATTAATCTAGATACGAGTTCAAAAGACGTTAAATTAATTCGAATAATTTTTTTCAATTTTAGAGAAATTATTTTAATAAAATAATTAATAGCAATATCCCCTGTTTAAAATAACTTTCCTTTATATTAGAAAAATAGTATATTATAATTAAAGAATCAATTAAAGCAAATTCACTATTTTCTTCTTTTTTAAATTTCTTCAGAATTGTATTATGAAAGAAAAAAAAATGGAAAGTTTCACAGAGTATATTACGTTGTAGAATATCGAAAATGGGCTATTTTTCTGAAATTTTTCAACAAGAACTCTTAACGAGTATCTATTACCATCGTTTTCTTCAACTTCCATAATAATTTCCGTAATTGAAACGAGCATTTGTCGAAAAATTCGATCCACAATCCACAATTCTACTCCATTCAAGTTAGAATTTCGTTTTTCCATTTTCCTTATTCCAAATAAAACAAACGTATCATAATTTTGAAAAGATATAACCACACATAACATTCATCCCTTCACTCCCCATATCCCCCAGCTCACGAGGATCATTAACCCTTTGCACTCCAGGCCTTTATCACTCGGTCAAACCAACAACTCCAGACGTTCGATGAATTTCTTAGCTAACTTAAGATAATTTCATACGACACAAATTAACCTATAAAACTTCGATATTCTAATATCTTATGTATCTTTACATAATCAAGATGCATCCTCGGTTTGTCATGTTCATCTTTCTTATTTTATTAAAACCTTACAATCCCAATAACGTGCTCTCACATTCACCTATGTCTATATTATTCTTATTTTCCATTCATTCTATATTCTTCTTACACTACATCTCTATCTATCAATTTCTCAACGAATAGAAATATAATTAATAACGAAAAATCAAATTCTGAAAAACTTTGAAAACAATATTTCTATTCCCACGACTGTCAAATATAGCTCGATCGCGCTCTAATTCGAGATAAAAAATCTCCATTCGATAACATATTACTTCACACTTATAAGATTATACTTAAAAAAAACTTAGGAATCTGAATATTTAAAAAAAAAAACAAACATAAATAAATATTCCTGGCCTTCGAATTGCCGCATTCGAGCGCAAAGGGTTAACGCTACGTAAGAAAATCACTAGCCAAATTCCCCATACATCGTTCCACGCTTCGGTGAACACCGATTCATCCCCCATCCCCCGAGAGAACACCTCGAGATATATATATATATA